CTCAGCAAAGGAAGCAGCAGCGGGTACAACATCATCATCATCACACCGTACATGTATAATGCTGCCTGATTGAGACATATCCCTGTTATCTACATCCTCTGTCAATAATGGTTGTGCATCACTCATTTCTTCAAACGGATGTGTAAATAACTCCTCTGACATACCAAGTGAAGCGCTGTGGTGCTAGTGTTGGTGGTGGCGGCAGGCGGGTGAGTGGTATCTTGAGAGGTGCCCGAAGCTAAGCTGGAGGAGAATGTTGCGTCAAGGTTCCGAGCGGAAGCTGTAGAAGATTGGGTGTCAAGTTCAGGGTACCTGGCCTCTGAAAACTGGGCATTATTCTAGGGCAAAAGGGAATCACAGCACCACGACCACGACGGCCCCTGCGGGGTGGCCAGCCTCTGCATGTCATTTTTTTTTCGATTAGTGGTACTACACGTTGTAGGCCTGACACACAGACGCTTGGAGACAACTAACTGCTATTCAATCTATAACAGTGAAAAAAGTTTTTTGGTTTTAAATGCAAGCTATTGTGACACCAGTGAGTGAGTGGTGGCACTGGGCACAGTATCACTGTGAGCCTGACACACCCGCTTTGAGACAACTAACTGCTATTCAATCTATAACAGTGAAAAAAGTTTTTTGGTTTTTAAATGCACGCTATTGTGACACCAGATAAGAGTGTCACTGTGAACTGGCAGAGTACACACTGTAGGGCTGACACACCTGCTTTGAGACAACTAACTGCTATTCAATCTATAACAGTGAAAAAAGTTTTTTGTTTTTAAATGCAAGCTATTGTGACACCAGTGAGTGAGTGGTGGCACTGGGCACAGTATCCACTGTGAGCCTGACATTCCCGCTTTGAGACAACTAACTGCTATTCAATCTACAACAGTGAAAAAAGTTTTTGGGTTTTAAATGCAAACTATTGTGACACCAGCGAGTGAGTGGTGGCACTGGGCACAGTATCCACTGTGAGCCTGACACAGAAGCTGGCAGACAACTAACTGCTATTCAATCTATTAAAGTGAATTTTTTTTTTTTTTTTTAAATGCAAGCTATTGTGACACCAGTGAGTGAGTGGTGGCACTGGGCACAGTATCCACTGTGAGCCTGACACACCAGCTTTGAGACAACTAACTGCTATTCAATCTATAACAGTGAAAAAAGTTTTTTGGTTTTTAAATGCACGCTATTGTGACACCAGTGAGTGAGTGGTGGCACTGGGCACAGTATCCACTGTGAGCCTGACACACCCGCTTTGAGACAACTAGCTGCTATTCAATCTATAACAGTGAAAAAAGTTTTTTGTTTTTTAAATGCAAGCTATTGTGACACCAGTGAGTGAGTGGTGGCACTGGGCACAGTATCCACTGTGAGCCTGACACACCCGCTTTGAGACAACTATCTGCTATTCAATTTATAACAGAGAAAAAAGTTTTTTGTTTTTAAATGCAAGCTATTGTGACACCAGTGAGTGAGTGGTGGCACTGGGCACAGTATCCACTGTGAGCCTGACACAGATGCTGGCAGACAACTAACTGCTATTCAATTTATAACAGTGAAAAACATTTTTGGTTTTAAATGCAAGCTATTGTGACACCAGTGAGTGAGTGGTGGCACTGGGCACAGTATCCACTGTGAGCCTGACACAGACGCTGGCAGACAACTAACTGCTATTCAATCTATAACAGTGAAAAAAGTTTTTTTGTTTTAAATGCAAGCTATTGTGACACCAGTGAGTGAGTGGTGGCACTGGACACAGTATCCACTGTGAGCCTGACACACCCGCTTTGAGACAACTAACTGCTATTCAATCTATAACAGTGAAAAATGTTTTTGGTTTTTAAATGCAAGCTATTGTGACACCAGTGAGTGAGTGGTGGCACTGGGCACAGTATCCACTGTGAGCCTGACACACCCGCTTTAAGGACACTGACTGCTATTCAATCTATAACAGTGAAAAAAGTTTTTTGTTTTTAAATGCAAGCTATTGTGACACCAGTGAGTGAGTGGTGGCACTGGGTACAGTATCCACTGCGAGCCTGACACACCCTCTTTAAGGACACTGACTGCTATTCAATCTATAACAGTGAAAAAGTTTTTTGTTTTTAAATGCAAGCTATTGTGACACCAGTGAGTGAGTGGTGGCACTGGGCACAGTATCCACTGTAGGCCTGACACAGAAGCTGGCAGACAACTAACTGCTATTCAATCTATTATAGTGAAAACATTTTAATTTTTTTTAAATGCAAGCTATTGTGACACCAGTGAGTGAGTGGTGGCACTGGGCACAGTATCCACTGTGAGCCTGACACAGAAGCTGGCAGGCAGGCAGGCAGGCAACTGCAATTACATTACAAAAAAAAAAAAAGACTGATGTTCTAGCCCTAAAAAGGGCTTTTTGGGGTGCTATCCTTACAGCAGAGATCAGATGAGTCCTTCAGGACTGTAGTGGACACTGTATACCCTAACCTAGCTATGCATTTCCCTATCTAATCAACAGCAGCTACACTTTCCCTCCTCTCACTAAGCATGCAGCTTGAGAATGAATGTAAAATGGATACCTTCCAGTAGGTGGGAGGGTCTGCTAGGGAGGGTGTGCTGCTAATTGGCTGGAATGTGTCTGCTGACTGTGAGGTACAGGGTCAAAGTTTACTCAATGATGACGAATAGGGGGCGGATCGAACCGCGCATATGTTCGCTTGCCGTGGCGAACGCGAACATGCTATGGTCGCCGGGAACTATTCACCAGCAAACCGTTCGGTGCATCACTAGTGGGAACGTTTCCACCGAACAGTGTCTTTCTAAGTGTTGTAGAACCGAACGCAGGCGATGCTGGAAGTCCAGCAGTGTTCAAGAGTTTCTGTGTCCGTTTTCAGTTCCATGAGATTCATGCCCAAACACCGCTGCCTGCGTTTATGCGAACAAGATGACCGCCACCTTGTGGTCGTCCATAGGAATTGCAGCCACCGAGACGAACACTTAGAACACTGCGGTGTAATTGCTACAAAGAAGCAAGTAGGCTTAACAAGCTCCAGGCTGTTTGGTTCCCGAACCAAATATAAAATCCTATGAAACAAGTCTGTTTTTAAAGGGCCCATAGTTTTTCTGTACACGTGACGAGGCTCGGTTCGTCACACCTGAGATCCCCTTGCCTTTTAGGAAATGGGAACAGGACTGTCAGGTATCTACACAGTTTAAGGACTGGGAAACAGCCTTTATGAAACTGAAAAAAATCAATACATTGTCTAAATTTATTGCATACACAAGTTAAAATTTTATAATTTTGATACAGTTACAGATTTAACCGGTATAACATTAGATAAGAAACCGGAAGTAGCATTGTTACATTTAAATTGGCAGCAACAGTCTAGACCCATATTACTTTAATAATACATTGTTTATGGCAATTAAAGTCCTTATTGCCAGGCACTGGAAATGAATAGAAGTCCCATCTAAAGATCATTTTATAAATCAACTTCTTTATCAGCTCGGTATGGAAAAATGGATCAATATATTAAACCCAAGAACAAACCGTAAACAGACAGCGAAATATGAATATTATATACATTTGGTAAAGAACTACCATAACAGACTACCTACCGGATTAAATTTAGATCTATAAGCATTAGACTAT